TGTTGTGATGTGCTTGTGTGTGTGGTTGTTAACGGAGGAAGTGTGCGTCTGCTTGTGTGTATGTGTGTTTGACGGAGTTAGACAAGGCAGAACAGAAATCACACCTGCTCAGAAACAGTATAAATATGATCTTTGTTAGTGTTGAACCCTTAAGTTCAACTGTGTGTGTGTGTGTGTGTGTGTGTGTGTGTGTGTGTGTGTGTGTGCGTTTTGCCCTTTTAGAGGCAGTGTGTCTTGCTTATTTTATGTTATGCGAGTCACACAGTTCTGCTACTACACACCTATTGTGTGTCGGCATGTGTGTGTTTGTGTGTAATTGATTAAGCTACTGGTCCCTTTGACCTCATACTCCCATTAAAAGTCTGACCCCAGCTGTGCTGCAGTGAGCAGTGTGTGTGTGTGTGTGTGTGTTGTTTTGGTGTTGTTTTGTGTGCGTGTGTGTGTGTAAACTTGTGTGTGTATGTGTGTGTGCGCGAATCAGCAGGTGACCAAAATGTGTTTTTGTGAGCTGTTCAGTATAATGCCTTTTATGCCCGAAGCGCTTCTCTGCTGTCTCTTATTACAGTGTTATGTGTGTGTGTGTGCACACACACAACACACAGAGGCACAGCCTGCCTCACGCACACACACACACACACACACACACACACACACACACACACACACACACACACACACACACACACACACACACACACACACACACACACAGCAGTGGCGTGAAATGTGTTGTGATGTCTCCTCTATGGGAAGCTGGTCTCAGACTGCAGAGGAGACGCTCCCCTTCTCAGACCTGCTCAGACTCATTGTCCTGTTGTGACACAAAACACACACACACACACACACACACACACACACACACAGAGAGATACACACATTCACACACTAAGCTCAACAAAAACTTTTTTCCCACCCTTAAGTATTCTCTTTCTATCCCCTTATAACTTTACATGTTTTTAGCACTGTTTGTATCATTCCTAGTGCTGCAACTACTGCTTTTTTCTTTTCGTGATTACTCCTTTAGTGAATTTGCACACAATTTCTGAGGTGACAATTTCATATTTCTTGTTTTGTCCAACCAACAGTCAGACATGTAAAAACATTCAATAAATGATATGAAAATCAGCAAAACCTCACAGCTGAGAAGCTGTAAACAGCAAATATGAACAAATAAATGTCTTAAACGACAGATGGATGTTCATTCAATTCATTTTCTATTCATCAACTCATTGATCAGTTGACTAGTCATTGCACCAATGATCACAACTGATTTCACGGTTCTATATTTCTTAATAAATTCTCACCAATTGTATTTTTATTGTGCAGCTTGACCAAGGCCATTTGGAGGAGAAGACTCTGTAAAGCAATGTGGGGGATTGAGAACAATTGAAAGCTAACATGAGGTTCAGATATGAGATGATTTTACAGTAGCACTTTGGATTAGGCATGTTTAAATCCACTTAAATCCGCTGTAAAAATGATAAGGCCTTTTTTCTGTATATTCCACAGACGAAATATAGGTCATACAGAGCCGTGCAGAGGTGGAGAGTTGCCATGTGTATGCATACACATGTGCAGGAGTGTTGTGTTCACTACAAAAGAAAGCACACGCATGCACAAAAAACACCACCACTACCACCACCACTTTACCGTCTCCCAGGGCAACAAGAGCACAATCTACCAAGAGGCACGTTGAGAATGAAGCAGAGGAGAGGGGAGGAGAGGAGCAGGAGCAGGAGGAGGTAGAAGAAGTGGGAAAAAGAGAGAATAAAAGAGAGAAAAGACAAGGCACAAAAGACAAGCCCATCTACCGAGACTGCTAGAGGGAGGATGGATGCTACAGGGGTAATGCCGGCGGTGAGAGACGTGTGCGTGCAGAGAAAGAGAGGGATGGGAGATGTGACAACTGACTGATGAACACACACGGACGAACACACACGGACACTATATGTACATGCCAACAGTTATATCTGGCCTTGGTTTGTGTGAAAGATTCCTGCCTGGTGTGTCTATGTGCACGTTGTGTTGCCAGACTAGAGGGACTCACTGTTGATGTAGAGTATAGAGCCTGTTTGTGCTGTGGTATCATGCCACGTTCTAACACATTTCAGATTCCCATGTATTCAAAGCAGGTGCTGCAGACACCAAACTAAGCACCATTCTACAACTGAAGTATTTCCTTTCAAATGTTCGGAAACCAGTTTCAGTGGGTTGTTTGGTTTTGTTTTGTTTGGTTTTTGGATGCCAGCATTATGGATCTCTGACCGAGCTACATTTACTAATATTAAGGGGGTGCAAGGATTGTGAAATTCTAGGCCGATACCAGCATTTAAAATAACATATTAATTTGTGCCATGAAAACAAAGAAAGCTAAGCATCACTGAAATATTGCAGCTCAGTCTATTTCTCCTCCTGACTGTCCTGCCGGTGCACGGAGCACATTGGTATTTGTGTGCAATTTGTGCCAGTGCTGGAAAACAGAGGTAATTATTTCCCCAATATACAAGTTCGGAAATAACCAACGCAACTTTGAGCCAGCACAAAACTGATGCAACACAACCGATAAACATCAGCAGCTGACATCAGCGAATGCCATCTCATTTGCCGATGTCAGTCAACAAGGCGAAAACGGTGCATCTCTACATATATAGTAACCTTCAATAAATACACTGTCTGAATCTTTTTAAAGTGAGAATAGCCTAACCACAAGTTTAACCAATCATCAGCTCACATTGCAAGAAACTAAACATAATTCATTGATCTATTAAAAAATGTTAGCATGAAATGTATCATTATCAAGCTAAATATAAGATTTTTTCATTGTGTATATTCATTTTGAAAGAAAGAAATGTTACAGTCATCCAATCAGGTGTTGCAAGGATGCTTAGCAAATGAGTGCAATGTCATCCATTTGGTTTACCGCCTACTTTAAATGACACCTGTTCCAAGCCCATTCAGCTTTGCCACGCCACCATCAGTGAACTTGCCGGCTTTGCCAGGCTAACGTCGTCTTCATCATAGTCATGCGACACCTACTCTCCTGTTTCCATTTGTCCCCCTGCCCATTCTCCAAAATACTTTGTCCTTTCTGCTTTACACTGTCCTGCTCCTCTCAATCAAATCTGTCCCATCTTTTCTCCCTCTCTTCCTCCTCCTCAACCTCCGCCCCATCTCCGCTGAGCTCTCCTGGTGATATTGTTTGGGGGGGGGGCCAGTGGCTGTGCTGGCATCTGTTCGAAAGGCTGGCACACTGCCAGCCACTGAGCATCACTCTGGCAACCAGAGTCACGCTGTTGGATTTATCTCCAACCAACCTGTCAGCTGATGCTCTTTGTGGGCGTAAGACGAGTGGGCACAGCCTCTTTGGCATTCGCACTGCCAAGGTGCCCATAGGAGATTTAAAAATGGGGATAGGGAAGCCCCTTAGTGGGTGCTACAATATTGAGGAAGTGAGACAGCTTTTTAGAAAGAAGCCCCCAACTTCCAACACAGGCTGAGGGCTGAAGCACTCAAAGAATAGAGTCCAATGTGCATAGGAAGGGAGAGAGGGAGCAAGGTATGGCTGTAGAAAAATACAGTATAAGGCACAGCAAGAGAGAAAAAGTAGATAAAGGTAAAGACTGAGCAGGGGAAGAGATTGAGAGAGTGACAAGGGAGCCCAGGAGGAAAGCATCACTGCATCGGAAGCTTACAGGATATCGAGCAAAAAGAGTGAAGAGGGAAGAAAGAGGCAGAGCACATTTCTGCCACAGACAAAGTGGCTCTGTTAAAAGAACAGTCACCTTGGGCTTAAGTACCAGATTCATATTCTCTTCAAGCAACACATACCAAACAACAACGAAAACCACACCTGTTAGATCATTAAAATCCAATTCCACTTCCATCAAGTATTACCCACTAAATGTCCAATGATACCAATCAGCCTCTGCAGTCAATAAGACGTGCTTGTAAATGTCACGGCATTCATCCAGGGAACTCCCGGAGATATTCAGTGGCCACCATCGTGGCGAGCATGTGAGACGAAAGAATCATGGGTTTTGTGTGCTGGTCCCCAAGATCTATGAATCAATTGGCCGCTAATGTAACCATCCAAGCAATTAGCACCATGACAAATTTATAAGCGATGATTACTCAGCTGGTTGTCCGAGCAATTTCCTGAACGGAACAGAGTCAGTTAAACCCGAAATGGCATATTACAAGTCTTTTTCACTAATTTCCTGAACGACATAATACAACATTTGATTGGCCAATATTTTATATGTACTTGAAACTCCCATGTCCTGCCCACAGAAGCAGAGGTGCCATTGAGAACAGAGAAGCAGCCAATTTGCCATATCGAAGAGCCACATTATTTGCATTAGAGCACACTGTATTACCCAGCAGTGAGATGACATAACACAGAACACAACAATTCTATCACACTATTTGAGATACGGCACAATCTGTGGAGCCGTTGTATACCCAAAGCAATATGAGACCGTATAGCAGGGTTAACTGTCCCACTGATAACAGGATGTTATCTCTACAGTCACAGCAAGAGTAATAATGATAATGTTAGGAATCGGACCTGCTCTGACCAAGTAGGACCACAGCTCTACTTCTATCAGAGATTTGCTTAAAGAAGTGACATTTGTAAGAAATTATTAAAATTCCTTTGGCCATGTGACCTGACCAATGATCCAGGATCAGCAGTTCCTGCCTAACAGGCAGACTAACAACTGAAAGGGAGATTCCAGAGGGGCCCCGAGCAAACCTTCAGTTATCGCAAAGTTACAACATGGATTAAATCAGATATCTACGCCGTATGCTGTTATCCAGTTATGTACCAGCTCACGAATGTGTGTCAATTTATAGATCTTTCCCATGAAATGGTTTGAGGGACTTTGTCCTAGATTAAGACTTCTGAACACACACGAGAGCAGGAATATTCAAGGTCCACTAGGCATCAAGCAAGCATCATTATGTTTATCCGCCAATGTAACAGAGTCTGGGCTACTTACGACAGTTCTCCTCGTCGCTGCTGTCTGAGCAATCATCATCATCATCACATCTCCACAGGGTCGGGATGCACCGTCCGTTCTTGCACTGAAACTGCCCAGTTTCACACTCCGACTCCGTATGAGTTCCTGTGTTGTCAGGAAAAAAACAAGTTGTCAGAGTATTTTTCATTTCATTTAGGGATCATTCTGTGATTCTTGAATACGTGTAGATATCAGATTTATTGAAATCTAAGAATACCATAAAGTATATATTGTGGCGGTGGTGTGATTACTTTTTTAAAAAGGAGCTTATGGCAAAAGAGGGCTCGACTACCAACTGTTTATGGCTGTGTTTTCTTCAATTTTGGAGGTTAACTGATACATTACAATATCCTATGTTCAAAATATCCTCAAATAGATGACATATATGACTTTACTGTAATAAAGGATTAATACTGTCCCAAGTATTGAGGGTTGTAAAGTGGTAAATTGACAGGCTATTGCTCTAAAGCCACCAATATTGTAGGTAGGCTTCCTCCAGTATTAGCTGTTTTAATATGTAGTTAATGTGCTTTTCTTAAATCCAACATTCCTACAACAAGATTTTATACTTTTGTTGTTATTATTATTATTATTATTATTATTAGGTGCTTATGAAATGAGCTCGCTTGTTTTGAAAATGTATGAATAGGCTTTGGTACGACCGTAACTGCCTACCACCAGTGTCCTACCGGCACTTCAACACAAACATCAGTTAAAGGCAAATCTATTAAGGCGTATTTTTTTTTTATATGTGTGTGTCACAAAAACACAAAGCAGACCATTGCAGCCTGTACTTTGACTCCACATCACCACACAGTCTCACTACAACATAAGCCTCCTGCATTTGGACACGTGTTTGGGTTGTACTGGCTGTTTCTTCCGTGTATTGCCACTTAATGTCAACTGTGATCGCGATCCAGGTGTGAGCCATAGCATGCCTTTGCGTCTGATAGCGCAGCACATGGAAGACGCGGACCACAATTGAGAGAGGAGCCCGTTTCTCAGCAGACAAACGATCCCCCCCCCCCCTCGACCACCCTCCCTCCTCAAAGCGTCTCCCCCAGTCCGTGATGCGATGCAACATTCACCTCCTCGCTGACACAAGTGTCTCTTACCTTTCGCGCAATGGAGCTCCATAAGTAACAAATGTAATAGCACAAGCTTTCCGACTTCCGTCCACATCTTTAGATCCTGGGGGGGTCTACGGTTGCGTTCATGCAAGTGAAGAAAAAAACAGTGAAGGATCCCCAACCTCTCACACTCGGCTGTGTGTGATCCTCTCTCTGCCTCTGCTACTGTGTGAGTGTGTGTGATCAGGCTGCCGCTCCGCTTTCCTCTCCGCTCTGCCTCGGCCGCAATTTGAATCAGTGACGCTTTGTGGGCGGGATGGCTGGAGATTGTGCCGGCGGTTGATGTAGTAGGTAGACAAAATACATTAAAACGGCTGTTAAGGAAGTCATATATGCACAGTGCTGAGTCACGCATAGCAGGTTGTTTTCCAGAAACTTTAGCCTATCAAGGACATGGAAATGTATTGTTATAAATAGTAAATATTTGTTAAAGAAATTGTTTTTTCAAAGAATTTTTCACTTGGACGAGAAGCTCGATGCCATTTGGACAGTTAAGCTGTTTGGGTAGTGTTAACAGCTAAAATATGAATGCTGTAGCCATAGTTACCAATCATTACAGACTAGAAACAATGAAACAGCTAGGCTCTGTCAAGAAATTAAAACAAACCCTTAAGGCTTGTTTAACCTCTACCACAACCAGTAGTGTGTGTATAAATGACAACTTGTGGTTTTAAAGGATTTTCTGTCATTGGTTACCTGGAAACCACAAGACGACACCAAGAAATAGTCCCACTCTAACCCTGTAAAACCAGAATTTCATGGTTCCATTTAAACTGGGAAGTCCAATTTCAACTGGAACGTCCCCTGAAGTCAGATTTCCAACTGGGAAAGTTGGAAGAACCTCACCAACCTTAATTCAAAAATCCAAGATTGCACATCAGCAGTAGTGAAAGCTCTAGTATTATACTGTTTCTGTTTCTTTCTTAATGTCCAGCTTCTATCTGTGGACATACTGCTACAGTGTTTGTATGTGCAAAATACCAGGTAATGTGTTTATTTCAACTGGTATTGCTAACAATGGCTATAGGTTTTCCCACTTATTGTACTCCAACACGGTCAACTTTGGTGACTCCTAGCTTCAACTTCCAATATAAATAGAATGCAGCAATACATTTTGGTCTATGTATTGATTAAACAAATAACATTTAACGTCTTAATTATTGTACACATGCTATTGGGTGGACCTTTGGACTAGGGTTGCTATTCGTCCCATATAATATGGGATTGTCCCATATTGAATAAGAATAATATTTTCATGCACACTTTCTCAAATGCATTCATTACATTTTCACATGCTTGGAATGACATGAGGCATAATTAACCCAAAAGTATTAAATCAGAATTTTCAGAAAAATGAATGACAGTGAAGTTGTCTGTCACTCAATGTCACCCTGGTCAGGCACACAATTTTTAAAAAAAATTGACAAATACCTCCTGAAGTCCGCCCATGAAAAGAAAGATGTTGTAAATACAGATCTGTATTCCATCGGGGGGCTGTCCAACCTGAAGCATCATTCAGCAGGTGATTACTATGTTCCAAGCAGTGCAAGGGCAGAGGACTCAAAGTAAAGTTATTTTGACAGACTAAACATTTTGCTCACGTCTATGCTCTGATGTTTTAATTCTTAATATAATGCACCTGTGCTTAACTCTTATTTACTTTACATTCATGAGAGTAGCAGAGGACTTTCATGCATCGAAAGCACAAATTGGTGGATAAATATTCTAGCCCGGGAACCAGACAAATCTATTGAGCTCATAATGTTTCATTTGCCCTGGCAGATAGTCTGGCGATGCCATGCTATAACATTTCCCCAGAATGAAGGAAATTAAGTGTCTGACACTCAAAATATCATGAGTGAGGACCCCTAAACTCTCTGATTGATTTTTATCTACCAAGCATGGGACTGCTGGCAAGCTGTCCCTTATTTTCCCACAATTAGGTGGCAAACCTACTTTGGACAGGGCCATGCCAGCTGTTTCCTCACGAAGCCAGTCTTTATGATAAGCTAAGCTAACTGTCTCTTGGCTGTTAATTCATATTCAATGGACAGATATGAGAATGTTATGAGTCGTCTCGTCTAATTCTGTCAAGAAAGCGAATACGAGTTTTTCCCCATATATCAACCATAACTTTAAGACGGCCTTAAGGAGTTTTTTATTATACTTAGACACAAAATTTACTACAGCCTGCATTCTACAGAGGGTGAAGTTTTGAGTTTTATATTCAGTATCCAATTGACATTATGTTAAATATGAGCGACTAAGTCTTGCTCCACCTGCATTTTCATCTTTTTTTTTGCCATCTCTTTTCAGACTGGTCATTAAATATGTTATTCAAATGTCAGTAACATTAGAAATTGCCATCCCTAATCCAATCATATGTGTAAACAATAACACTAGCACTCCTGCTCTGGTGTTCCAGCGTCCTTTGTATCTGTTGCTATGGGAAAAGACAAGCTATCAGAGAAACATATTGGCTATAAAAGGTTTTATCCACTTTTGCTTCGCAACTGCCTCTTGCTGAAGCTGTTTCTTTTTACATTCAAAGGCATTTAATAAGGGTTATTTTCAGTCTACGTCTTCTAAAGCAAGCGTATTAAATAGTTTAGTAACTGTAAGAGCCTTTCCTTATGAAAAAATCCATAAGTGCTACATATGTCATTTTCTGTGATATGGGGCTTTTCAGTTGGCTAGAATAATTATGAAGGGATCATTTTGGGGAGCCAATGACAATCGTCAATGAAACAGAGTTGGGGGCATGTACAGTCTTGTCTAAAGAGTTACCTAAAGGCAGTGAAGTGACCAACATATTTTGGGTATGAAGACTAGAATTTGAACTGAATGAAAAGTGTGTGCAATGAAAGGGAACAGACAGGTCTGTACTGCTGTATAATGCAGGCAGAGTTCAGTTTTGATTTGCTGCTGTTCAGCATGGCTCATGTGCATGAAATGACTTTAACACATGAATCAACACATGAATAATGAATAAAACTACTGTATAAATAGCAGAGAAAAACACAATTCTTGCCTCTTATACATTATTCAATAAAAAGTGTGAATGAAACATTAAAAGGCTGGCAAAAGGTGCAGAAAATGGTAAAAAAAAAAAAAAAAAAAAAAAAAGGCTTTGCATCACTTTCACATTACCGGCTTACATAACTAAGGAAAGTCCCATGTTATTGCTACAGTCTTCATACTTGTTCACTCAAGGTACTTAAGAAAGCATCTCATTGGAATCAAAATGTTTGTAAAATCTACTTTGTGAATGCAGCTACATATTATGTTGATATATACACACAATATATTACGCTCAGTAATTGCTGGAGTTTCCACATTTATCCTTCTATTCTATTCATATGGTCTGTGACATGAAAAATGTTATGACCACAGCTGGTGTTATATCCTCTGAGGGTTTTTTTTCAAGCACAATATGTTTCATGTATGTAAAACTACTATACATGTATGTTATGTCATCTTTGATCCATCAAGTAGAGAGGATTACACCATGTATGTTGCACCTACAGTGCAGTGCCCCCCTGCAGGATGAATGTGCTCAGGGATGTGCATGAATTAGAGCAGAAGAGCGAGAGCAAGTTTTCTGTCCAGACTCGCTCAACAGCTGCTAGTAGCAATGTGCAATTCCCAAATAAATGTCATGGATAAAAAGTAATAAAGGACTAAAACTAACTATAGATTATTATTTTTATTATTATTGCAACAAGTAAAAAGGGGCAACACAGTGTGTGGCAGGTTTTGAGACTGCCATGTTTATGTACCGGAATAGTTGGTTGGCTGTTTAGGCAGCAAAGAAGTGACTAAATTTACAATCCAAATTAGGTATAATTAACATAGAGCATATTATTATCCTAGAGTTGCAAAGGGTGAAAAGTCATGGTTATTTTCTGCAGTAGGCCTGCACAATTAATCGCAATATTATCGAAATCGTAATATGGCCAAATACAAAATGCAAATTGATGGAAGCTGCAATTTTTTGTAAACTTTATGACAAACAGCATTATAATGAAGTACTCTAGTTCTGCAGAGATGCTGTGGTCCAAATCTTGTTCTCCAGATTTAAGAAAACCTGTTTTTGTGGTACAGACCCTAACAAATTTCCCATCATCATGATTTTAATCATTTTTTCAGTGAAAAGGAAATTTGTGATGCAAAGATGATCACTGCCACTAATCGCGAATCATATCACAGTATCTGTCAAAATAATTGCAGTGTGATGTTTTACCATATTGTGCAGCCCTATTCTGCATAAACAATTTTAAGTACATGTAATTGTACAAAAAGTGTCAGCAGCACATGTGTTGAGTAGGCCAGCTGTTAGTTCTTTGATCAGAAGTCAGATTTATAAGCCTGTGTACATAAAATATAAGGATAGAAGTCAATTAAGACTGTTTCAACAATAAACATCCAACCACAAGTTTAAATTCTTGTAAAATCTCCTGCTTTTCATGCCTGTCCTTTGCCCGCCTGAACCTGGTGTGTCTTCGTCATCCCCTGAGTCAGAGCCCTGGTCGGAGCTCCTGTAAATCACTGCAGCACCGTGTCCCCTGTCGTCAAACTGGCCTCCATCTGTCTCAGAGCCCGGTTCGTGGTGTAAACAACAAGAGCTCCCATTCCGGGCAGTCTGCTCATAGACATATGTGCAGCTAACAGGGTAACTGAGCTTACTCTGGTGATATGCTGGCCTTATTTGTTTGCAGTATGAAATCAACAGGGGGCCAATTCTTACATATTGCACCTTTAAGTGAAAGCAAAGTATCAAACATGAACGTTGCCTTTGAGATGTAGTAGAAACATAAAGTTGCATTAACTTTCTTCCTTCCCTTCCTTCCTTCCATCCTTTTACACCTCTGATGTTCTTCATTTTCATAGCATTAGCAGTTGAGGCTCATGGCTATCATCAGGTAGTATTTCTCAGTTTTTCTTGATTTCCAAGAAACAAATATTGGCCATAACAGAAACCTATAGTATTGCTCAATTATCTCAGGGACTCCAGTGTTATTGAGGAAGTTTGAAGATGTCATTAAAAGACAACTTTGAAATGCAAATGTTCAGTGGTCGCTCCTCCCAATTACATGAAAACATTCTCCCCTATTCTGTACTTCTTGTGGTGCTCCACCATTGCTATGCAAATTTTCTTCTTAGCTCCCAGAAGTGGAGAAAACCATGAATGCAACAGATTTTG